AATATATCAATTTAAATTGCATTACAAAACATTTTTAATAATTAAAATTTAAATTCTTTATATTTCTTGGATGATTTGGTATCTTGACTTTGTTGACGTTTTCGCTTGCTCTATAAAAGATTAAAAAAGTCTTACTATATTTTAATTGTGTATCCATGAAAATGATTACCTTTTGCCGTTGAACATGATCTTGTAGCATATCAGATAAATCTTCTCGACGCAATGCTTGACGATTACGCATTGTTTCTTCATAACGTGTTGCCATAGCTTCTGAATCCAAATCTAATTCACTTGGATCAAGAGCTAATTCAATAGCCCCCTCTCTTTCTGTTGCTCTAACTTCAGATGTAGAGATAACACCTCGTCGGGCAGCAATAACAGATGGAGGAGCTTGACCACCTGCTCCTGTCATATCATAAACATGTGTACTACCCATCATACTACTACCAAGTCCTTCAGTTCTTCGTTCCTGCAAAACTGTATATAATGCAGGTGTATCACCACCTTCCATTTCATTTTCAATTTTTCTTTTTCGAAGTTCTATGGTTTCTGGAGTTTCTAAACCAGCATGAATAGATGTAATACCACTTGGAGTAACAAGTCCTTCTGCACCAGGAGTTACTAGTCCAGTAACATCTTCTTTACCTAAATACACAAATTAATTATATAATTTAAAAATAGAAAAATACCTTTTTAGAAAATTAGTAAATGACATTGTTATTACCTTCTTCATCCTTATCTTCATCTTCATCATCTTCATCTTCATCTCCAGAAGATTCTGATTCAGGTTCGCCCCACATTCCACGATCAATTTCCTCATCTAAAGCATCAATTCCAGGAGTTCTTGATATACCAAATACATCACCATATAAAGGTCTTCCAGTTTCATCAACTGGTGGTTTTCCCCAGCCACCAGCATGATATCCAAAAGCACAACCCTCTGGAATCGGTGCGTTCAAACCAGGAATCTTAAGATTTGGATAACTTGGTGGGGGTCCATAACGTTGCATAGCAATAAGCCATGGAGGAGGTACCTTATGACAATTTGGTCCAATAGGCATACCAAGAGCTGTACGTAATTCGTCTGTTAATTCTCCAGGTTTTTTTTCTTTTAATCTTGTTTCAAATTCTTTCCCTTCATAATAAAGATCTCCATGGATAGTCATCCTAGGTTTTGTTTGCCACTTAAAGAAAGCATCATGAAGTTTTTGATAATCTATATCAATTTTACCTAACTTAGGTCTTGCCCGTTCTCTCATCTTAGCTTTAAGGGTTTTAGATTCATCCTTTTCTTGTAAACTTGCTCTCATTTCAGTAATTCCAGTGCGTTTTATAAAGGATGGTAAATCGAAAGGTGGCTTCTCTATCCCTCGTTTTCCTTGTAAATATTTTCGTTTGAAGCACCAATGTCTTGGTACTGGTACAGTATTTCTATGTGCTTTAAGTTGAACCAAAAGTTTAGGGTCTCTAGCAGTTACATCATGCATTTCAACCACATCTGGTCTTCCAACAAGTTGCTTGAGTTCAGCAACACTTAATCTAGTCAATTTTTTTAATTTTCTTTTAGATAATCGAGGTACACCATTTTCACCTAATGCTTGATGTTGCTGTTGTTGAGATGGCATATCATCATCATATTCATCCAACAAAGATCCAAGTTTAGTAGCAATAGCTCCTGCTGCAGCTGCAGCAGCACTTATAGGTGGATATTGATTAAGTGCTTCACCTACATCTGTATTACATTTTTCTGATTCAACTATTTTAAATGCTTCAAATACTTTTGCAAATTGCCTGTACATTGGTTCAAGATCATTAACACCTGGAACCTCTTGAATGTATTCAATCTCTGGCTCAAATTCTTTAGTATTATTTATTTCTGTTGTTGAACGATTATCTTTGTCCTCTCTATTGTTTTTCTGCTTTTTTTTCTTTTTCTTTTTTTTTTTTGTTTTGTATGTTTTTCAGATTTACCATTTAAAGTCCAATGTTCAGAATTAAAACCATTCAAATCATGAACTTTTTCTCTTCGTGAAACAAAAGAGTGCTCAAGTCCTGGAGGTAGTAATACTCCTCCACTTGACATAGTTCTCAATTTTTAATAAATCTTACGTAAAACTTAGTAAAATTAACATACACAATTATAAAAGATCAAGTTTAATAATAATCAATAAATTAAGTTATACTTAGACTATATTATATTAAAAAATACTTGCAATTATAATAGCAACGTATAATAGTAGACTTTGTTAAATTAGAAGAAAAATTTTATTATGAAATGTAACAATTTACTAGATAATTCTGCCTTCAATTAATATTATCAATAATTTATTAGTTAACACCGACTACACAATGCTACAAAAATTAATATATGAAAACCTTATGAATAACAGTATAAATAGATGGATCACTGATTTCACATATTTACTTTGTTGGGTTTAAGCTCATTGGACCATTTGGCGGGTAAATTATAAACTTGGAAACAAATTAATAAAATCAAAGAATTGAAAATAGCAATACTAACTACAAATTAAAAATATATACTTTTAATATATATTAAAATGCCTCGTTTTTACTTAATTGTAAAAATTACATTATATTAAACTTGAACCAATTAGAAATAATGAATCATATATTCATTTATAAAGTATTGATTTTTAATTATTTTAATTATTTATTCACAAGAATAAATCAATAAAAATTTATGCAATATTAGGCTAATTCATTATACTACCTATTATACTTTCTTATATAACACTTATATTAAATTATAAAAAATATATTTCTTATTTTAATGTTTCCTATTTTAATAAAATAAGAGCGCAAATATTTTATATATCGAATTAACAATTCTTTTGTTTTTAAAATAAGTTATTAACAATAGGATATCTTTTATCACAAAAAATAAATATAACGTATTAAATAATTTAATATAGAATCCTAAACTTGTATAAAGTACAAATATTATAAATATATCTACTAAGATTAAATATTTAAAAATATTTTATTTCCAGTTAAATACTGTCATTAAATTGACACAATATAGTTAAACTAAGATATTATCAATATATAGATAAGAAACGGGGATTCAATGAAACGGATACATTACGGACACATAGAAGTGAATCGCGCATTGTTATGGTTATTCAAACTAAAAAAACGTGAAAAGAATTGTAATATAAAATAAAATAAAAAAAGTATTTAATCTCGAATTTTGACTATGATAATTTATTGTAAATATTAAATTTAATATATAATTTTCTATTATTATTTTAAAAAAGACTGTTGAAACACAAGTACTAAAATATATTTTTTAGTAATAATAATAATAATTTAATAATAATAATTTATTATAAATTTAATCAAATTTATACAAATGTAAAAAATAAAATTTCGTACACAAATTTCACTATTTTCTCTTATTCAAACTAGAATTTTACATTTGATCATGTATGTCAAATTATTTTATTTACTTGAAATGTACATCTATTATTTAGTTTTTATTATTGTTATTTTATTAATTTAATTTTATTTATTGTTTTCTCTATTTTATTATAAGCTAATTTAAGAATTTCATTCAGTATCGTTACTAACATTGTTATTGATCAATTTTTATGTTTTGTATAAAGAATATTATTTTATTTAAGTATTTTTAATATAAGATTTATATCAATTTTTTGGGAACAATTTGTTCTTTTAAATAATATCAATCTTACGAATTCAATACATTCCTTTTATATTTTTTTCTATATTTTCATTGAAATATATTATTAAAACATATTTATTATAATACTTATTCAAATTTTTTTTAACATTAATCTGATCATTTAAATTTTCATTTAAAATCACAATTAGTTCAGTTATATAAGGTAGTGGCTATTGTGTGCGTAGTATATAAAAATTTATTAATTACCAATATTATTAATTATATTTTAAAGAATTAATTAATAAGTAATCGCAAATTTACACAAAAATCTGAATAAATTATAATTAAATATTTATGCTTAAATAAATATATTGTTGGATATTATATTTAGATTAAACATTTTAATATTATTATATTATAGTAAAATTTCTATTGTTGATAAGTTTCAGAAGATGTAATTTACAATTACAATATATTAACTGTTTGAACTAAGCAACACTTTTGTTTTAATAAAAATCAATTATTTTAATTAAATTAATTATTTATTAAAACTGGATAAGTTACAAATAACATGTTAAGAATAAAAAGTATATATTAAAAAAACAAATTATAATTTAGACATTTGTTCGATGATATTCAATGGTTAATAATATTTCATGTGAATATTTTGTATAATCATGATAATGAAATTTTTCTTTTATTTATCTCATTTCCCGAGAATATATAAGTTTATGATACTTTAATATTTTGTCGAAATTATATTTAAATAATTAACTATTTAACTATGAAATGATTAAAGAAAAAATGAAGGTTACTATAATTTATTTAATTTAATAATTATTTTTTTTAATTTTTCTAAATTGCTAATTGTCAAATTACATTCAATTGATCGTAAATTACATTCAATCGATAAAACATATGAATAATATAATTTATATAGTTTATAAGAATTCTAAATATTAATATATTTTTATTATCCTTAAATGTATGCTTTAATGCTGTTCGAAGTTTAGAGAAGCATTCCCAGTCATTAAACATCTGGAAATAGTCGTTACACCCAAAATTTTAAATGTAACGGTACACAAATCGCATCCATTGATGTCAAGTCTAGCCATACCACGCTTGCATAAGCCAAGCAAGGGTACTTCAGTCAGGAGTTCCTCTTGACCGGAAAGCCATGAGAAGACTACTCTCCCAGATTGAAGGCACTGCCGCTAGAGGCGCTACAAGAGCGCTCCAAAGGCGTTTCATGTAGAGATGCCGAAGTCGTAAGCGCTCCGATTGGAGACACCAAGAAAGTAGGCGTTCCTAAGTGGACGCCATGTTCAGTAGAGTGCATTTAAAGAAGATTATCACAAGCCAAACTAACTCACTAACCAATACTCTAGTGCATCATCCGGGAAGGAAGAACTCTCTCTTACGGGGAACGCTGCAGAAGATGGTCTGTCCCAACTGAACCCATGGAAAAGGCGTTCCCTCTTACGAGGAACGCCGCGGAGGAGGAACGTACACTCAAGCTGAAGCTCTTAAGAAAGAAGGAAGAAGGAAGCTCCCTCAGCAGGGACGGAAGCCAAGTCTCCGTTTGCCACTGCATAGCAGCTCAAGGAGCCTTAGCCACCTTTCTCTTGGTAGAGTTTCTCAAGGTCCAGTATCAACGAGTAGACATTAAGAATCAGAGCCGATACGGAAGGTATACGCAAAGCTTCATACTAAATGAGATATACTCCTGCCTCAAGCCCACTAAGCCACGGGTGCAGCTGTGATACTAAGAGACGCTACGGGAGGTCCTCTTTACCCTTCCACACCACAAATAGATTAGAGGAGATCAGTAACAAGTTACCACCACGTGGCACTACATGAAGAAGTGTCAAGAGATTTACGATCTCTTATCTCTCAGTGTAATAATCTACAACAAGCACATTACATCAAGAGGATCCGGAAATTTACGACCTCCTCTCTTTGTATGTAGTGCATGCTGACGCTACGTGGCAACCGACAAGGAACTGCAAAATCTCAATGATTCTCATTACCAATTTAGAATCATTATACTGTAATTAAAAAGTAAAACCCAATAAACAGCACAAAAAGTAAATGTGTTAAATATTGAATTAATGTACACTACCCCTTTCACTTGCCCGTACTTTTTCTTCTACCGAGCCGGATGAAAGGAATTCTAAACAAATGCTATACTTTAATATACTATTGATTATTAATTTAATACTGAGATATAATAGTTGTATTATTATAAAATTTTCATTTATTTTGCAATGATCAAAAACACTGTCGTATGAAATAAGTAACTTTTTCCTCGTGTCTATATTTATCAATGTTTTGTATTTTGTACAGTATATTCAATTAGAGAAAATGAGTATGAGTATTATTTTAATAGAACGTTTTATATTGGAAATTTTTACTTCAAAGGTAAAAAAGAAGCTAATCAGCATTTGGAGAAAAACGCGCTCACTTCAATACTAGTAGTACGATGGACACATATATTAAATGACATAGATGTTGCGCGTTACAATATCCGAAGTTTATTTTTCAAAACGGCAAGTTGGGAATGTTAATCAGAAATGAGCACTTTAAAAGCTTAGCCAAGTAATTATCTTATTAATAATGAAGAATGATAATAATTTATTTGAAAAAGAATATGTTGAAAAATAGTAAATAACGCTACGTTTTATGCACAGAACAAAATTCAAGGAACACATATTCATGTACTAATAAGAATATAGCTTTCTAGATGTAATGAGACAAAAATGCAAAATAAAATGAGTGAGAGATGGAATATAATATTAGTTACTTACTATTAACACATGCCTCATTACTATTGAGGTAATGTAGTAGTAAAAGTACTCCTTTTACATTTTGATAACAATGACTGCAAAATTAGTGATTTCCACTTTACAATATTAAAGTACTGTAAAAACAGGAATATTACTTAAGAATTTAAAATAATTTAATACGATAAATATCAAAAGAATAATCAGCAAATATTCCCTGTAATGTATTTATAAGAAAATCAACGTCCCTTCATTTTTAATTACTAATCTGTTTAGATTAAATTAAAAAACAGAAATGTCAATAAAATAAATAAATAAAAATTCTAATTTTAAATGATGCATATAAGTCAAAGGACTAGTGAACTAACAGTACAATTATGGAAATCCATATAAAACAACTATAATAAATACCAAATCATCAATCTATACTTGTTATTTTTTTAGATGCTTTTTTAATATTTAAGTATGTTTGACTTCAAATTGTTATTTAAATTAAATTAATTTATTTAAAATGTATTCAAATTTATGCTATTTTTATTTTTTAAGTTACTCTTGTATCATCCTATTATATATATCCTACTCTTTCTATGAATATGTATATCGATCTGAAGAATTTTTAGATTTTATTATAGTTAAATTATATAAAATATTTATTAATCATGGTGTTTGTATTATTTATAAAAATTATAAAAAATTATTCTTATATAAAACACTATATTTCTGTAAATTTTCAATGGACATATTTATTAAAAATTAATGAAAATAAAATAGAGAATCTGTTTTCTTTTATTGTATAATATTTCAAGTTATATTAAAAATTAATATATAGATATGAATACAAAAAATACATGACAAACAAAATTAAAATTTAATTTCTAATAAATAGAGCTAATGCATTAATCCAAAATTTAAACAAATACTCTATAATTTTATTTCGCAATACATTTATACCTAAACTATTCTTTGTAGTATAATATGTCATACTCAGTAATACGAAAATTTATATTTGGATAATTTCATTAAAATATTTCCATTATAAATTATATTTTGATATCATAAAAATATAAATTGTATTATTATACTTTATTATTTATGATTAAAAAATGATTGTATAAACTTCAATTAAACACAAATTTTAACAATGAAAACATTTTCATTACAAATCAATATCAATAAAAAAATTATAATTCATGTAGTTATTTCAACGTACAAATTATTATATTTCAATAAAAAATTTTCATTTTTTACATATATAATTACTAAAAATATTAATAGATATAATAAACAATATAATAATATACTAACATTATTGAAATACACACTTTCATATGCACATGTGAACCTCTTCATTATGTTTTTTATATACAATACCAGTGAAAAAAAAAATATTAAAAACAAATGTACAAACAATGTATATTAGTAAATATTTAGTGCTTTTTTAATAAGCAAATTCCAAACTACTATAATTTTTCAATAACGATTTCTTTCTAATCTTATTAACTTGGGTTTTCTTTCTTAACCTCCTTATTATAATAGGATAAAGCCTGATTAATTACACTTTGTTTGTTGGTATTAATAATGTTATCGTTCAAGTATCCATGTCTTGTTTCTTTTTTTAAATTATACAAAGAATTATGAAGATACTTTAACTCTGTTTCTTGTTTAAGAGTCATTTGGTAAAGTGCTTCTATATCATCGGTAAATTTTTGCAATTGCTGCTGTCGCATCTCTTCTCTTTTGGCTTCTTTAGCAACTTGTCGATTATATTCTAATACTAAACATCCACCAGCTACACTGAAGATTATAACTTCACCTACTAAATTAGCACCCAATTCAATAGCCATTTGTTCATTAAGTTTAGCAATTTTAGTTGGTTTGCCTAAATTCATAAGATACATCTTTGTCTTAACTTCTGCCCAATGATATACTGTAAATATTTTGATAAAATTAAATTTTTGGTGTGAACATAATGTATAATAATAATACAATAACAATTTCAATGTCTAAATAATTAATAATAAAAATTAAATTACGAAAATTAATTTTTTAATTTTACCTGTAAAATAATGAATTATAACAAAATAGTATACTTACATTGAGCAGGTGGTATTATAAAATAAGCTCGAAAAACTGGATGATTTTTAGCATGAGCTACTATAATTTGAGCAAGAGGTTTGCTAATTTGCTTAATAAAAAGCACACCTAGTTTAAGTGCTGGAAAAATTCCTACTGCCATTATGTATTTTCAAGAATTTTGTCAAATAATTGCTTCAAACTGTACAATATAGAAATAGTTCAAAGTTAATGATTGAGTAAACTTTTTAAAAATTATTTTAAAAAAATATTAAATTAAAATAAAAAAATAAAGAATGAATGTATAATCATTATAACATTCTTTTATTAATTTATAATTTGTATTAAACTCCAATAACCCCAATAATTCAATATAACTTATTCAATTTTTAGTATTGATAATTTTAAAAACTAAACTATTTAACTACATCTTTAAATAATTTAATAATATTTATATAGTTCATTAAATATATTAATTTTTTTTTATATAAGATCAAGAAAACGGATTGAAAACTCTGCAACATTCACTGTTCTCCTAACCTAATAATCTAAAAGTTATAATTATACTAATGCAGATCTTAAAGGTTAACCCGATTAATAAATCAAGTGCAATTATTAATATATATAAAAATTTTATATTATTTTTTTATTAATTTGAACTCTTATAAAAACAAAATATTCAAATTGCCATTTTTCAACTTACATCAAGTTACTTTCGTTCTCACCTTCAAAATACATTAAGTTTCAAACATTAAATTTAAAATATAAATCATACTGTATCAATAGAAATTTATTATTTTCTTAAACTTCACTGAATTTTTAAAGTTATGTTGAATTTCTTCAATTTAAAAAATATCTTTACTTATTGCGTAAAATTCAATACTTTTCAATATACTTTCAATTGAGTTTAATCGAAATTATAATGAAAAAAAAAAAAAATTATAATATAAAAATTAATATCAAAATAGAAACAGAGAAATAATATTACATAGTACATAGATTAATATATAATTAGACCTATACTGGATGTGCAATATTGTAGTATTATAATTATTATCCGCGGTAAGATAACGTATTTCAATTAATCAATTTGTAACTTTATAAGTAATGAATATTTTGTTCAATCTTCTAGTAAAAACTTGAATTCTCCTAGATATGTATTATTTAATTTATTAGTTATATTGTTAGGAAAGAAATTATCAATAAATTCGCTCAAAAGTAAAACCCACAATATAAAAACTTGTAAATAGATGAAATCAAATTCAAGCAGAATAATAATAAAATAACCTTTCAGATGACATGAGCTCCATACTTGACATGTACAGCAGTTAATTTTTTCTTCCAGTTACTCCACACTGTAAATCGAAAGCTTATGTATCTACGAAATTCTAATGATAAATATCATGCATAGAAAGTATAAACACAACGGTTTCATTATTTAATTATGAATTATTAAAAATGTTTTGTAATGCAATTTAAATTGATATATTTGTAATGAAATACTATATAGGATTATAATTATCTTATTCATTTAACCTGATTTCAAAATTTAACAGATCTACTATGTTCCATTTCCCTTTGTGTGGCTTAATATATAATTTTCAATTAATAATTTTCAAAGTTGAATAAAATATTTGTTTCTTCAATTGTTACAAAGATGATTAAAATTAAAAATATTATCCTCGAAAATAGATAGTAATTCATCAATATACAAAATAAAAACAATCTTCATTTATTATAATTAATAAATTTTTAATTTCAATATTGAAATGAAAAATATGTAAAAGAACAGATGAAACTTGTAAATATGTTCCAATGATTTTTATTTAAGTTGAATCAAGTCATATGTATAATAATAGATTAACTTTATTATTTTTAATTTAGTACCACATAATAGCAATACAATAATATCAAATATAATTTTTAATATTATTTTCTTAAAAAGTAAAAATTCATAACATTTTAATTAATTTTATACAATACATTATGTCTTCTACTCAAACTTAATAAAATTTAAAAACAATATGAATACATATACATTATTTAGAAACACATTTAATATTTATTAATGATTATATAAGATCAGCCATGTATTTAAGTAATAATAATTAAAATTACATAAAAAAAATAGAAATTCTTAAATTTTTCACAAAAGTGTGTATTTTTATACAATATCCTTTAGTTTAATTATAAATATGAAATACGTTTACAGGAAGGATTAAGATAAATATTAATAAGCAATAATATTCCAATGTTACTGAATAAAATTTATAGTTTTTACTTATCAATGTTGATAATTATAGACTATACAATAAATTTAATAACACATATATATGTACATATGCAATTTCTTCTCGTAATTTGTCAATTATTTTTTGTTTTTGTAAAAATACGTATAGAAAAATATGTGTACTATGGCAAATATTAATTTTTTTATGTAATTAGTACAGGTTCCAAAAAACAGTTATTTTTTTACTTTTTTTCTTTATAATAAGTTATTTATTTAAAAAAAAGCTGATACTCATCTAAATAGATGAAAATTATTATTATTATTGGGCAAAAATCCATATTATCACCCATAGTAATTTATTTATTAATCAAATTCACAAGTTGGTTACGCGGTAAGGTACAGCTTGGGATTAACTATTGGTTCAGGTGCAACACATTGACGCACAATTATTATGGCTTAACAAGATTAACGAAAAAACGAAAAGAAAAATAAATGATTATATGACTATTAATATTGTGTTTGTTTATTAAATAAATCAAGTATTTCATTAACAGTTTCTATTTTTACAAAAGTATATTAAAAATCGAAGTATTTGTTCATATCCGAAATGTATCTATTGTAGTCGCACATAACCAAAGTCTAATTCTATTGATTCTTAATGATGCATTAAATATAAAATTTAAACAATATATATTGAAAAACTTGCAAATAGATAAATAAAATTAGGTCAATGTATCAATATAATATGACTTCAATAGAATTTTAATGAAAAATAAATTAAATTATATATATTTAAAATATTTCCTAATATTTTATATAAATATATAAAACATCCATAAATTATTGTAAATTTACTAAATTATATTTATAAAAATAAAGTATTTTTATTTTGTTTTGTTCGAATGACTGTAATTTTCGGTATTTCTTTTATTGATTCATAGAATTTTGTATTCAAATTATATATTCTTAAAGAATCAACCATTTTCAACTTATGTTCGTTTATATAATAAATGTACTATTTATAATTCCTAGTTGAAATGCAAAAAGAAAATAATATAACTTAATTTACAAATGATAAAACTCTACAGTCTGATATTTTTACAAAATTAATCCAATTTATTATCAAACATAAGTGTTCGGAAAATAATCCCACAATTTGACTCGTCAGTCAAACGTGCAATAATTAACTTAGAACAAAAAATCCACTAGATGTTGTGTGGGGTTGCCAGTCAAGTAAAGGATGAATGCACTGATTAATAATTAACACATGTCTTTATTATTTCTGTTTATTTTAATTAATTTACAAAAGAGTGAATTACAGACGAACTTTATATTTCTTGATAATCTTGTGGTGTTGAAATATATTCACTATGAATGAAGCAGGTTATAATCTATTGAATATTATCACTAAGAGGTTATGGTGATTGTAGTGCTCTGATCGAACACTGGAATGC